GCGGCTCTGGCGTTGGGCTTACGCCCCTGTGAAAGTCAACAAGGTCAGGTGGGTCCTAACCAGCAACCCCCCCAGAGCTATTCCAACCGCGGGACCCCCCCTCCGGCAGAATGGAGGAGAGACAGGTGACGGGGCTGCTTGGGGGTAGCACCCATGTGCGCACGCGGCTAATCGCGCCCACAACGAGGCCCGTCGACGTCAGGCCTACTCCGCTTCCAGAAGCCGTGGGCTCACGCACAGCAAGCCTGGCTGTGTGAGCAGACCCTGCACACGGCGGGTCCTCTGCTCTGCGGGCAGGAGACCGCAGCACCATGTTCCCGAGTGTGGGCGCTCCTGGTGCTTCCCGAATCCCCCATTGACACACCCGTCCCGCTTGCTTCGGGGCTTCTCTGAAGCTGCCCCAGGTGTGCCTGTGGACGTGGAGGCTCCACGCCCCCTAAAGCCGCTGCCCGAGAGGGCACAGGCCGTCGCTCGCCTGAGTGTCCCCAGGGCGGGCGGCTGCATGCACTGTGTCTCCAACAGCTTCCTGGGAGCTTCTCCAGAGACCAGCATCTCAGTCATGACCACTGTCCTGGCACGGGGGAGAGGCTCTGCGGGACAGCCTCTGGCCCCGCCACGGCCCGCCACGCCCCCGCCACAGCCAACACACTGTGCCCTAGCCCCAAGGCTGGCGTGCCGGCTGCAGCCTCGCCTGGTCAACCCCAGAGTCCTGGCCACACAGCACAAGGGTGCCCGCACACACAAGAAGCGGGCACACACACTGCCCCCTGGCGGCCAAGTGGCCCCCACAGCGGCCCCACCGCCCTCCACAGGGACCTGGCTGGGGTGGACACTGCATTCACGGCATCGGGCCCTTCCAGGTGTCCCTCGGCCCCTCCGGAGCGTCTGATGCTGCTGGCTGCAGGCCACAGACCACCCCACCACCCAGGGGATGGCCACGTGGGCATGGTGGATCTCCCCTCCTCAGGAGTCCTGCCTGCAGGCTATATCCAGCCACACGTCCAAGCTAGGACCCCTTCACCGCTGGAAACCACTCAGAGCAGCCAGCCGCTGCACAGGGTCCTTGGGTCCATTCCGGTGGCTCCTCAGACGCGGACTAGCTGGGGTCACTAGGCTCATCCTTAGGTAGAATGGGGCCCTGGTTGGGGGGGCATGTGCAATTTCAGAAGCATGGGTACGGGTGAGGGGCTGATGCCACCCGACCTTGGGGAGGGGTCCCCTGGTGCTCAGCAAAGCCTGGGTCCCCGGGATGACTACCGTTGTCTCCTCTGGACCTCGCACATCTGGCAGGGCCATGTCTGAGGACATGTCTGAGGACACAGCCACAGTGCTGGCACCCAAGGGCCAGGCACACAGTGGGCACCCGAAGGAGAGCAGAGGACTCCTGGCCCTGATAGCAGACACCCCACACAGGCCAGGACTCCAGGAGGTCACGGCATCCCCAGGGCACAGGTCACGGAAGACCCAAGGTCAGCCTGTGGAGCCCCAGCCACCTGTCCCACTGAGGCTCATACAGGCAACTCTGCTCCTTCCACGAGGCCCGTGGCCCACGCAATGGCCCAGTGGCATCCACACGCTAGTCTCAAGACACACGCTGTCCCGCAAGCGTGCGGTGTACTCCCCACACCAAGCTCTCTGCGTTGACCGCGGCCGGTGTGGGAAGAATTTCCCAGGAATCTCTAGAAGGAGCCACAGCCACTCCCCTAACTGAGATGTGCAGGTCCCACTGCAGCCATGTCCTCTGGCCATGTGCTGAGCAGGCGGGCAGGTGAGTGGCGGCCTGTTGGCCGCCAGGTGGGGGAAGGGTGAAGCCTGTGGCATGACCTGTGGGGTCCCAGGCCCTGGCGCCTGGCTCCGCAGAGCGCTCACCAGGAAGACATCATGCGGTGCCACGGGGCTGAGCCCCCAGATTTCAGATGAACGCTTGCCTGTGGTTAAGATGCAGTGGGTGCCGTGAGCCAGATGGCCTGTCCGGGGGGGCCACACGCGTGTGGGACTGGCATATGCGTCCTTGGAGCTAAGGTCTGCTCAAGATGGGCAGAGCCCTGGGGGCTCGACGGCCGCATCCCATGAGGCCAGCTCAAGGGTCCCACGCAGCAGCCTTGGCCACAACCCCATCGAGTGTCAGTTAAAATGCCGCCTCTAGAGTTCCGGAGCTCGGAGTTAGGTGGAACATCCCTTTTAGCTCACTTAATGGAAATGTGTTCACTCGCAACAAAATTTCAATTGTTAGTGATTCTTGCCCTCTGAACTTCTCCTGCCAGCCTCTGGGAGCATTACAGAAATGACAGATCTGCAGGCAGATGGTGAGCAACTGTGCAGAGGGAAGGGCGTGCTTCTAGGACAGGGCTGTCCCCACCTGCAACCACAGCCCTGCTGACCGCTAGCTGTCCCCACCTCTAACCCGGACCCTGCTGACTGCTGGCTGTCCCCACCTGCAACCACGACCCTGCTGACCACTGGCTGTCCCCACCTCTAACCAGGACCCTGCTGACCACTGGTTGTCCCCACCTGCAACCAGGACCCTGCTGCCCCAAGGCTGTCCCCACCTGTTACCAGACCCTGCTGCTCTCATTCCTCATAATTTTCACGCATGCACGACCTATTACTCCCCTTCCGAGATCCTCCATGCCGCACCTGCCAGCATCCCACATCACCCTGGCACAGCCCTGGCCCTTCAGGGGGCACTTGGCAAGGAAGTGATGCAGGTCCTGCCAAGATCAAACTGCAGCATTTCCCAGAATCAGCAAGGACAAGTATTCTAGACCTCGAAGCAGGCAGTCCGCCTGCCTAGAAAACGCTAATATCGATGAGTGTTTCCGACGTGCACCAAGTGGGCACCAGGAGCCAGCACTGCTGGCAAAACCAACCTCATTGCCTTTGTTTTTGTGGGGGGAGAGGACAGATGACAGCAGGTGGACACACATTTAATTTCCACAAGGTCGTCTGGCACCGTTCTTACTCAGCACAGGGCACCGCAGTCTGCGTGGAGACACAGAGTGGACCGTGTCCCTCCCGGGGGTGCTGCGCCTTCCAGGCTGGCCTCCGCCAGGCACTGCCAGGGAGGACACAGCTCGGGACGCCACACACGGAGAAGGCTGCAGGACGCTGGGCAGAAGGGACATACGACCCAGCCCCCCAATGTCCCTGATGGAGCAATTTCCCAGGGCAGAACCGGGAGCAGGGGTGTTGGACAGAGCTCGAGCTGGGCAGGAACCACCCCAGGTCTCTCAGTGACAGCAGCAAGGACACGTGCATCCTGCCAGTGTGCGGCGAGCCGGGCCGGAGGTCAACGCCAGGCCGGTGCCCGGCTAGAGGCTCACACCCCCACAGCCGAATGCGAGATACCGTAGTCCTGCTGCCGTACGTGCTTCAGCTAGAACGTGCTTAACGGAAGGGGCACCCTGTGTTCTGAGATTGTGCTCTTTCTGTAGCTTGGTGTTAAAAGCGCCTTGTTTCCACATCAGCTTGGGCTGCTCGGATGGCACAGTCTGGGGGGCTTAGGAACACAGCTATTTACTTCTCACAGTTTTGGAGACTGGAAGCCCAAGATCAGGGTGAGGGCAGATTCCGTGTCTGGTGAGGCCCCTTTCTGATTCTTAGATGGCGTGTTCCCGAGCGTCCTCACGTGGCAGACGGAAGAGGGACCCACCTCTCTGAGGCCTCTCGTAAGGGCACTAACCCTGCCATCGGCGCCCCACCCTCATGCCCGGATCCCCTCCCAAAGCCCCCAGCTCCCCGACACTGTCACCTAAGGGGTGAGGTTTCAACATACGAGTTTTAGAGGACCACAAACATTCAGACTGTAGCAGAGGACAAAATAGAAAGGGACAACCCAAGCCATACCCCACCCATTCTTAAAAATGTCCCGAGAGTGTTCAGGCGTCCATCAGCCTGAAGCACTGTTCTGGCCCCAGCTGCAGACGCCTGGAATGTCACAGCCATGTTCCGAACAAGTGAGTTCACTCGCCCAGACACCGCCCAGGACCCAGTGCACAGCGTCAGGCCCTGTGCCCACGTGCCCAGGAGAAGGCCCCCAGGCAGGCCTGAGCACAATGTGAATGCACACACAGATGATCTGATCACATGCGAAACCGAATCTTTAACCCCATCCCCTTATCGACATGCCCCCTCCCTCTGGCAAAGCAGACGGACCTGGGCTGCTCCCCGGGGCCATCCTGCCCTGGGCCCCCACACAGGGGAGCACACGTCCAGCCAACGTTACTACGGTGTACCCAGAAAATGCTTTAAAAAGTATTTCCTACCTTCCCGGGTGTGCACGGAAACGTCACTCCCAGAAGGCATGAAGCTCCTAACTCGAGCAAGTGTTCATTTCAGGGCATGTTGGAGCCCTTCTCAGAACACCGCACAAGTGTCTGCACACACACTTGGCGTTTCTCTTTAGCGACCCGCCAGGAGGACGTCCTTCTAAAAAGGGAGCGGACATCCCCGTGAGCTGGTGCACTCTGCTGCTGAGGGCTTCGGAGGCGGGCAAGCTGGCGCGAGCAGGGGTCTCAGCCATCCCGACGGATCCAGTTCCCATGGACGCTGATAACCGTGTAAGGACCCCCTGGTCCTGCTTGGCACATATGCGTGGGTCTAGTTTTCTCAACGTCCCTCTGGTACCCCAGGCTGGGCAGTTCTCTGCTTCTAGACCGATCACCTTTCAAACCCACTCTCAGGGTCAACTGGGTCCTGAGCCAGACACCGCAGCACCCACAGCCTGGGCCCCTCTGCAGGCCAGTGGTCACCCAGCCGCACGTGGGAGGCATGGTGGTCTCCAACCCCAGCCAGTGACCCTCACACATGAATGGCCAACCCCTCCCCACAATGCCTCCAGCCTGGGAGACTGAGGCTTGCTGCCACGAGACCCTAGCCTGAGACTCAGGGGCTGGGGGGGGACAGGCTCTGGGTCCGGCTGGCAACGCTCTGGCATGCTCACTCGGGGGTCCCAGCGGGGTCACGACTCTGACCCCCGCCTCCCCGGCCCACAGGCCTACCTGCTTGCTGCCAGTGTTGCGCTCTGCGTCCTCCGTGCCTTTGCGGCCACTCGCGAACGCGGACACCACGAAGCTGTCCCCTGCGGCCCCGCGAGCCGACGCGCGGGAAACGAGGCACCGAGGAAGAAGGAGACGCGCCGTGAGCCCCAGACGCTGAGCACGAGCCCTGTCCCGCCCGCCCGGCGCGCCCATCCCAACTCCGCGCGCCCCGCGCTCGGGGCTCAGGCCCAGGGCCGGGCTGGGGTCCCGGGCAGGGGGGGCCCCGCGCGCTCCCGGAGACCCCGCGGCATCGTCCCCACACCCCGCGGGCTCGAGGGCGGGACGCGCTAGGCTCCGGGCTCGGGGTCCCGGCCCGGGGCAGTCCCGCGCCTCGGCCGCCGCCCGGCACGCTCACCTTCGGGGCTCTCTCTCCGCTGGGGGGCCGCAGCGGCCGCGCTGCGGCCGGGGCGCGGGGGGCAGGGAGGGGGCAGAGAGTGGCCGCGCCCGCCCGCCGCCCGCCGCGCGCGCGTCTCCCGGTGCTTGGACTGACACTTCCCCATGCCGCCCGGGGCCCCGCCGCCCGCGCGCCCGGCGCCGCGCTCACAGCCGGGTCGGGCTCCGGCGCCGGGGCCGGGCGTCCGCGGGGGTCGCACGCACCGGGCGCCGGGCCGGAGCAACCGGGAGGCTGGGAGCGCCGGCGCAGCGGCGGGGCCGCGGGCGAGCCCGGCCCCGGCGGCGACAGCGGCGGCCCGACTCGCTCTGAGCGCGCGCGCACGCTCCCGGGCTTTAAGTGCGGCCCCCGCAGCGCCCCCCGCGGCCGCCGCCCGCAGCGCACGGCGCCCTGGACCCGCCCGCCCGCCCCCCACCAGCTCCGGGCCGACTCTGCCCGGGAGCCCCCGGGGGCGGGGGTGGGGGTCTGCCAAATGGGGACGTGGCAGAACGGCGCCCCGCAGCGCGAGGCCCTGGGACAAGCCGCCATGAGGGTGGGCAGGGGCCGCAGTGGCCCGCGGTTCCGTGCGATTCCTTTGTGGGCAGCTCCCGAGCCCCCTCCTCATCAGGCCATCTCTGGTCGGGATCCCGCATTCTGGAGGAGCCTAGAGCACCTCCTTTTGCAGGAGAGGACCCTGGAGCACCGCCCAGGACTTCAGAAACACAACCTGCACCGGAACTGGGCGGGGGGCCGAGCTGCATGAGCGAGCCAGAGGACAGGAGGTCTGCGGGGAGAGACTTGGAGAGGGCGGCCAAGGAGGGGGTCTCCAGACAGCACCAACTCACAGTCCTGTCCTGGCTTCTTCCCCAAAGGTCCAGCCCCACACTCTACCTCCCATTAATCAAGGACAAGAAAGGACCAGCACCTGGCGCAGGCTGGACACACCCTGCGTTCCCTCTCCTTTGGCCTTGGCTGGACTTCTGGGCAATGGTGGAGGGCGTCAGCTGGCCCTGGGGTGCCACAGGCCTGTACTCCGCCTCCTCCCCGTGAAGGACAGGGCCACCTGCACCCCTTTCCTCTGCTCTGCCTCCTTCCCAGAGTCGTCCAGGTGCTCCGTTAACCCCTCCCTCACGCCCAGCCCCTCAGCACCCCATCTGTGCCCTTCCCTGAAGCCCTCGCCGTGGGAGGTCCTCTCCTCCTCCTCTTCTCCACTTGCCTCCAGAAAAACCATCCTTCCTCACCTCTGCCCTGGACCCCAGCTTGCTGAGCCCACACGACTTTTCCCTTCACTCGGCCTCAGCCTTCCCTGCCCACCAAGCTCCTGTGTCTCCCGGAGCAGTTTCAGCTCAGCAGGTGCCTGTCACCCCATGGTCACTCACACATTTCTGATCTCTGTGAATATCCTCACCATGCCCCAGTGCCAGCTCCGAGCCTCGGAGGTGGGTTGCTGTGCCCAAGGTCCCTCACCTGCCCAGGCCTGGCCCACCTCCTCAATGGGGCTGGGCCTCCCCAGCTTACCTCTGCAGCCCCCACCGCTGCCTGGACCCTCCCTGCCCGCCCCCCGCCCTGGGGCAACACACACTGATGAGCTGACATCCAGCCAAGCCCCAGGGATGCTCTCCAAGCATCATTGTCTACCTCTCAGCCATCGAGGGGCGAGGGGTGAGGGGCGAGGGGCGGGCGCTGACCCCCCATTACAGCAGCCTGAAGGGTATAGCTGGTCAACCACAGACTGCGATCGAATCAGAGTCCCGCTCCTGACCCCGGCAGACCCCTGCACCAACTGTCAGCCAGGACCCAGGCTGCACACAGGGCGCAAACACAGGCCACGTGAAGCGTGCCATGGGTAACCCTGGCTCCCGGCCACCGCGGCGATCCGTGCTGAAGGAGCCCAGCTGAAGGCCGGCTGCAGACACCCCCAGCGCTGGGCCGGCAGAGGAGTGCCTTCCGTATGGCCCCCGGCCCCAGGGCTCAGGCCCCTCCACCTCTGGGCAGCCCTCCCAGGCTCTCCCAGCCCCTCCTCAGCCTCCCATCAACCCATACAGCTTTTAACGCCCAGCTTAGAGTCGGCCAATTTGTCATCTTCCGTGCTCCATGTGTCCTATTACTGTGTTTGTGACAACACCCTTCCAAAAGCACACGTTTATATCCATCAGCAGACACCAGCTCAAGGACAGGCGTGCGACCCCTCTGCAGATAGGCTCGTGTGTGGAGCCGTGTGAGGGTGATTCCTTTGTGCTCACTCCCAGCTCAGCCCCGCAGACGCCGGGTGCCCCTATGGCTCAGCCTCGCAGACGCCGGGAAGCCCGCCACCCTGCCCTCCCACCGGGGGACGATGGCTGGGATGCCCGCCCAGGTGTGCTGGTGGGGACTGCAGAGTCTCGTTCCTTCTGGCTGAGGCTCTGGTCTTTGTTAAGGGCCGGGACGGTGAGTGTGTGTCCTGGGAAGACAGGTGGAATGAGGGTGCCCCTGAACCAGTCCCACACTCTGCTGCGCTCCACTGCCCTCCTCCTCCTCCCCAAGTGGCCCTGGGCTGCTAGGGCCACAGCTGAGGCCGGGCCCTGCTCTGGCCAGCATCTGTCATCACATCTGCTTTGTCACACAGAGAGAGCCGGATCGTAAAGCAGAAATTTCACACATGGTCCACATTGACCTGGATTCCCCGGCCAAGGCTTCGCATTTCTTCTTTAGCAGCTTTACTGAGATGTAATTTACGTACCCTACAACTCGCCCACTTAAAGTGTACAATTCACGGATTTTTAGGCTCTTCATAGATGCACACCACCATCACCAGTCAATTCTAGAAGATCCTCGTCACCTCATAAAGAAACTCCATACCCTTAGCGCTCACCTCCAATCTCCCACTCACTCCCTGCTTCCTGTCTCCGTGGACCTCTGCGTTTTGGACATTTTGTGTGAACAGAACCATGTGACATGTGGCTGTTCGTCTGCTTCTTTCACTCAGCCTAATATGTCCAGATTCCCTGCATGGTGTTGAGGGTCAGCACTTCGTTCCTTCTTTTTTTTTTTTTTTTAAAGATTTTATTTATTTATTTGAGAGAGCGAGAATGAGAGACAGAGAGCACGAGAGGGAAGAGGGCAGAGGGAGAAGCAGACCCCCCGCCGAGCAGGGAGCCCGATGTGGGACTCGATCCCGGGACTCCAGGATCACGACCTGAGCCGAAGGCAGTCGCTCAACCAACTGAGCCACCCAGGCGCCCAGCACTTCGTTCCTTCTTATGCCTGAGTCATGTTCTGTTGTGTGGACAGCTCAGGTGGCTACTGAGGCCAGTGTCGGCCCATGGACCGGGCTTGTGCTGGAATTCGCCAGGGCGCCGGGGACCAGGAATGCGGCTGTCCACGGGACCAGCGTGGCCAACAGCCTGGGTGGCGCGTTGTCCTGCAGCTGAGGCAGCTCCTCGAGGCAGCTTGCACCGTCCCTGGGTGCCTGGTGTCTTCTCTTCCATATGTCTCAGCGTTTCCCCATGCAGGCTGTCGCTGCTTCCGGAAGGATCCTTGGGGCTGTCCACTGGTGGGCAGGGGAGAGAAGTGCTCTTGGCAGGGAGGGTCCCACACACCTGGGCTTGGCACACTGCCTCCTGGTGGTGGGCCTCCCCGTCCTCCTGTGCGGCCGCGTGGGTGGCCACTCAGCCAGGTGGAAGAAGATGCTGGTCTCAAAGCTGCAGAAGCACTGGGAAGGCTTGGGAGGACCCATCAGCCACCCGCCACGTCAGGAAATGGAATTTCTACGTTCCCTTTCTGGGTGGAGGAGGCCACTTTGGGCATCTCCCTCCTCACCTCCTGTGGGGCCGAGCTTAGCGCACTCCGTCCGGCCTCGTGCATGTGGGTGCGGTCCTCTGTCTGCAGGACCCCCATGCCCTGCTGGGCCTCACGGGGAGTGGGGCAGCGTGATGGGGTCGCCCTGCAGCTGCACCCCAGAGACCTCAGGGCGCAGACTCAGCCCGTCACCTCTGCACTCAGAACCCCTGGCCTGCCGTGCACACTGTGCACGCCTCTTCCGGATCTCCTGCCCACAGCACTGCTGGGACAGCGGGTGCACAGTGGGCCCTTTCTCAACCTGGCCTTAATCAGGTCGCCAGGAGCGGGAGAAGGGTCAGCTCCAGGTCATGGACGCAGGTCCAAATCTGGAAAGGCCAGGCAGTGGCTGGTCCTTCTAGAATGTTCTGCCGTAGGATGACAGCCCACGGATGGCCACGTCTGCCCGTGCCTGTTGCTGCGATGGTTCTCGCCACGGACGCCTTCCTCCATCCTGCCGGCGGCCCCGCCACGGCTGAGAGCTCCTGTCTCCCACCCTGTCCCGGGGCCAGAGCGCATACAGAAGGTCCTCTGTGCCTGCTTCCCCATCAGCTGTGAGAACAGACCTCTCAGCCGCTGTGTCCACTCCTCCCCGTGGGGCTGCCAGGGTGACCTGAGACACAGCGGCTCCCCCGCCTCAGAATCCCGGGGGCTTGTCGGACAAGCTTCCGCCTGCCCCTCTGGTGCACACGCAGCCCCGTGTCCCCTCCGGCGCCCGGTTAATGGGCCGTGCTGCCGGTGTGGGTCTGTTTCCATGGCTGCCGGCCCATCGCAGGGGGCCCACACGGTGGGGCACAGGTCAGTCCCGGGAGACCCGGGGGGGATCAGAGACGCGGAGGGGGCGGCACCGCACATGGGCACATCAGTGCTCAACCCCTCCTTCCCACTGCCTGCCACAAATGGGGTCCCACCCTCAGGATGGCTCTGAACCCCCCTGGCTAACACCTTTCCTTCAAGGCCCCCTCACAGATCACCGGGGTTCCTGCAGAAAGAGGGAGATTCAGCAGCTGGAAACCCAAGAGGGCAGGGGCCACAGCTGATGGCTCACACCCCATGGCGGGTCCCAGGCTAAATCCCCAGAAGCTCCCCGGAGTCCTGCAGAGAGACGGCCCTAGGTCCCGGCATCCCGGTGGGAGACGAGGGCACAGCCTTGCTGCGACGGGGTTCCAGCCGGCCAAGAGCACCCAGTTACTGGGTGGGTCAGCTGGGAAGAGCCAGGATCTGTGCAGGGACAAGGAGCTCCCAGGATGTGCCAGGAGGGGGTGGGGTGGGGGCAGCATCTGCCCAGAACATCTGGAAAAGCACTAAGTGAGGTGACCCACGGAGGGCTGAGCACCGACCTGTGTAGTGGGGGCCCTGCAAACACTTGTC